TTTGGGAATGGGAAGAGAATAGGGTTAGGCTGAGATTCAGGAGCTGGAGTCTGAGGTCTGCTTCTCCTGTACCACCACATTCTGAGACAGAACTCCAGGAATCCAAGAATTATAAATTCAAATCTTGCCTTCCAAATATATATACATATAAATGTGTATATGTCAGATTAAAAAGATAAAATATATTTCACTTAATTGTTTGCTAGCTTAATTAAATGGCATACGGGTTTCCATTTGCAGTCTTGCACTAGTTCCTACAAATGTTAAGGGGCATCTTGTGTTTGTGTATGTTTCTAGGTTCTTTATCGTGTTCCACTGGGCTGTCTATTCCTGTTTCAATAGCACCCTGCCTTAATTAATATAATAATTGATCAAAAGGGCAATTCCCCTGCCAATTTTGTTCAAAATTATCTAAGTCATTTTTGTCCTTTTTTCCTCCAATATAAATTTGGGGGATCAGCATATCAAGTTAAAAAAAAGTCTCCTTTAAGCAATCACCTTAAAAAAACTGTTTTATTCTCTTCTTAATTTAGAAGCTCCCTTTTAGCATAATTTATGAATTTTCTCATATTTTAACTCCCTGCCATTGGTTCTGTCTTAGCCTCTAAATCAGTCGTTCTAGACCAGAGGTGATTTTTGTCCTCCAGGAGATATTTGATGATGTCTGGAGACATTTTTGGTTGTCACAACTGAAGTGAGGGGTGCCACTGGCATGCAATGGGTGGAGACCAGGGATGCTGCTAAATGTCCGACAATGCACAGGATAGCCCCCACAACAAATTGTTTGACACAAAATGTCAATAGTGCCAAGGCTGAGAACCCTGCTCCAGGTGACATGGGAACATGCAGACCCATTATGATACACACATACACATTTGTGTACTTTAGAAGTGTGTGTACTTGTTTGCACATGTGTGAGTATATTGTAATCAGGGCTTAGGTAACTACTTTCTCACCCACTGCCCTTCATCTGAGATTCGCAAAGCAATTTACCAACATTATCTTGTTAATCCTCATCCAGTGCTCTAGAAATACGTGACAACATGATTACACTTGTTTTATTAATTCAGAGACATAGATTAAGTGCCTTACCGGTGTACTTTACAAAAGAAAAACTATTGAAAAACATATTTCATGAAGTCCCCTGTTTCAGCTATTATGTGATAGTTGATAGTTTCATCCTTTATTCTACTTATAAAAGTTGGATGACTTTTCTTCAGGCAACAATACACTACTTTTCAACATGCTATTTAATTCTAAGTACCTAATTCTTAACATAGAAAGGAATCTAATTTTAATGCACATTTTAAAATTTTATCTAAGTGGGTAGAAATATTTTCACACTTGAAGAAAAAAATCTAAGGAAAACTTTTATAGAAAATTGTAATGGGAGAGCCTGGGTGGCTCAGTCAGTTAAGCGACTGCCTTCGGTTCAGGTCATGATCCTGGAGTCCCAGGATCGAGTCCTGCATCGGGCTCCCTGCTCAGCAGGGAGTCTGCTTCTCCCTCTGACCCTCTCCCCTCTCGTGCTCACTCTCTCTCTCTCTCTCTCTCAAATAAATAAAATCTTAAAAAAAAAAAGAAAATTGTAATGGGTTACTGATTAAAAATCTGAGAAGAGCTAATGCTGTAAAGGAATTTACTAAACTAATGAGAAGCAGTGCCTTTAGGTTTTAGACTTCATTTGTAAGCTTAATATTTAAAAGCAAACTGATCTTCAGTAATTCTGAAGGGATTGTTACTAGACACGTTGGTTCTTATGAAATCAGAAATCTGGATGTGGCTATAAAAGAATAGTTCATGCTGAAGGCACTGGTCATAGGGGCAAGTACATCTTCCTTGCTCCCATAGCTGGTGGAATTATACTTAAGTATGTGTGATGATTAATTTTAGTGTCAGCTTGGCTGGGCCATGGTGTCCAGATATGTGGTCAGACATTATTCTGGATAATTCTGTGATAATCGTTGTTTTGGATGAGATTAGCATTTAAAATAGTAACTTAGAATAAAGCTGATTACCCTCCTTAATGTGGATGGGCCTCATCAGGAGAATTCCTGAGAACCATAGCCTGACCTCCTCCTAGCAAGAGGGAATTCTGCAGCAGATGGCCTGTGCACTTGAACTACAATATTGGCTCTTCCTGGATCTCCAGCAGATTTGGGGACTTGCCAGCCTCAATATTCATGAGTCAGTTCCTTAAAATAGGTACCTTTCCATACAAAGACACACACCCTATTGGTTCTGTTTCTCTAGAGAACTCTCAGTAATACAGTATGTAATGAAATTCTTTTTGTAAAAATTCTTTATTATGATCAACGATATGTGGGAAAATGGATTGAGAAGCATATACTTTGAACTAAAAAGAATTATACACAGTATCAAGTGGCCAGTTGTGTTTTCTTTTATTTAGACAATCGGTTTACACACTTTTTCATCTTTTTCTACTCTCAAATCCCATCAATGTGCTGCGAGTAGTACAAACAAACTGAGATAAATATCACATATCTAGTTCTCCTGTCCTTGAACATATGGGAAACTAAATTTCCTAGGAGTTCTTGCACTTAGGCAGGCCAGTGGGACTGGTCTTGGCTAAAGAAATGTGAGTAGAAATGCCCTGTGTCACTTCCAGGTTGAGGCAGTAGAAATCTTGCCGTGCAATTCCCCCGTCTCCCCGCTCCCCTCCTACACCAAAACCCTGAAACCTGATGTTGAAATGTCGGTTCTGATTTGCTATTGATTTAGAGAAAATTATTTTCTTTGGGGCATCAAAGTTTGTTTTTGTCATAAGCAAGAGCCTCTCCTTCCTATCTCACTCACCCCAGACCCAGCTCATTGCAGAATTCTCAAAGGATTTCATCACCAATAAAGACTGACTTTAACTCAGGAAATTTACTTAGAACTTTATAGTATTAGGCAATTTGCTAGCTATCTGTGAGATCCATCTTTGACATAAAATAAGCTATTAAATTTGCTATTATCATTTCTAAGAGAGTAGGACAGCCTAATTAGGTAATGACTGGTGATGACAATTATACCATCTTTATTTTTCCTTGTATGATTCTAAACTTCTCTCCTCTCCCCACACCACTGACATTATCACCACCACAATCAAACTCCTTTTTCATTGGTTTAATCATATTCTGCTGGGGATGGTTGTAAGACAAACAATAACAAAAAGTCTCAAGAAAAAGAAAGTTTAACATTTTCACAACTCCTTAGTTTTGAAAGAATTTCAAGGAGCTCCATTCATAATGGACAGCCACCAGATAGCTACAAATGGATGTAATCTTTCTAAGTCCAAAGATATTTTCCAAAAATAACACTCCTTAGGGTCACTACCTGAAGTCTGAAGCAATTAACATGAGGGCATAAAGCTCCTGGTGGTTTGTGGCTTTCTTTCTATGGTTCCTGATACTTGCTTTCAGGGGTTTCAGTAAGTCTAGACTGATTTCTTCTAAGTGTGCAAGAATGCAGGTGTACCAACATAGCTCACTCGCTTGCTCTCTCTCTCTCTCTGCCTCCAACAATCCATAGGATATAGGGGGTATAAACACTCTTCCCTACTCCAGCCAATAACATTCCTGAAAGAAAACAATGAATTATTAACACCAGAGATTGTCAAACTACTTGTAATACAATAGTTACACAAATTATGAAATGTAATCTGTAGTTTGTTCTGTTATTTTCATTAAGATCGAGTAGACAAAGTGGTAGAGACCTATCACTACATGCAAATAAATTCTTTTCTCATCCAGGCCTGTCCCTATCCTCCATGAAAACCCTTCTGGTCACACTAATTATATGAGGCAGCTTGTCAGGATAACAGAGGCTTTCATGCCCACCACAGATAATCACATTTGGGTGTCAAAGCAAAAATTCTACCAAAGTTAAATAAGTAAGGAAGATTTTATGCAAAGCTATTGCAACAGGAGAGCAAGGCCAGAACTGAGTTTGAGTTCATGTCTGTTGAAATAAAAAGCAGGAGAGTTTGTAAGCACTGCGGTGAGAGTGTGGAAGAGTGCTGGAGGACATTAGGAGGGAAGGTTGGTTAATGAGATGAGTGGAGTCACTGAGTTATTCCTGGGTTTGCGAATGTTTTTCTCTGTGATTAGGCCGTCTGTGTTTGCTACTATACAACCATAGAACTTAAAAGTTAGCCTCCTATTCTCCCACAGAAACTGTAGCCCTATCCCCTTGATGATTACATTTTAAAGAAATAACTCCCAGCTCCAGGAGAAATACATTCCTGGGTTTAAAACTGGTAAAAGGCTTCTAAAAGGTTTATATCTCAAAGGAGTAGAGAAAGAATTTGCATGTTTCCTAAAGCAGATGCTCTGAGAAAAGGGAGGTCAGGAGCCTGAAATCAGGAAGAAGTCTGTCTGAAGTCAGGCAAGCTGAGAGGAATGTTAAGGCTGTCTCGGTCATGGGTCCATTTTAGTTACTGCTGAACTAGAGTGTCTCCATATGACATTCTACAAAATAAAACTTGCAGAAAATGGACTTACTTTCACTGCATACAAGAAGGGTTAGCCACAGAATGGCCTCACTGGGAGAAGTTTCTCCTCTAAGTCAAATCTCCACATAAGTAATCATTGAAAACTACATGATGTCAGTATGTTTTTCCAGTATGTTCTTACTGACTATTGTAATCAAAACACAAAACTCATTTTCAAATGAAATCAAGTCACCATATGGTTCAAGTGACCTGAAGAAAGGCAGTTGCTTTCTGGGTACTTGCTTTACGCTCAGACGTGAAGGAGAAAAACTTTTCTTCTTTTTGATGATATACAATGATGGAACTGCTAGTTTGCTCCCCACTTCCAAACATCACAGAATGAGCTTTCTTACCAAAAACCAAGGACTTTGGTTTTCATTGCTACCTCAAACCCTCCCCAATTCCCACCCCTGGTACTTTTTGTTCTTTTGTTTGTTCATTTGGAAGTTGAGAAGCTTGCTTACCACCTTGCTCTTAGAATATAATTTGAGTTCTGTTTCTCTAGGCACCCAGAAGTCAGAAGACACCACATAAATAAAATTAACTGCATTTTGAACCAGGCTCTAAGCTGGTTAATGGAAACTGAGATGAATTGTTTCTGAATGGATATCAACGCTCATCCTTGCAATTGGAACACCTGTCCCGACAAATAAAAGAACTGTTGCTTAAAAAATAATTTTCTGTGTGTAAATCTCTGTGTATTTCTAATCATACTTACTGTCATATAAACAAAGTGCAAGTTAGAAAGGAGCTCACTTCCCAATAGTTGGATCTTCATTTCCTAACATTCATCCACAGTCTCTGCTGGGATTACTCACCCATACCTGTCTGTGCACATTGTTCCCACTGTATGTTTGCCTCTCCCAGCAGCCATCACCTATTACCCAGCCTCTGGGCTAGAATATTGCCCTAACTGCTACTTCCCTAAGGTGCTTAGAGCCAACCACTCACAGATTGCTTTTTTCTAAGGGATGTGGTTTCTTAGAATTCATCTGTGTTTTCTTTGTTTCTTTTTCTAGCTTTATTGAGACAGAGGTGACTTACTGTATAAAAGGTGTACAACGTGATGACTTGATATATGTATATATTGTCAAATGATTACCACAATAAGATTAGTTAACACTTCCGTCACCTCCCGTATTTACCTTTGTGTGTGTGTGGTGAGAACATTTAAGATCTCCTCTCTCAGCAACTCTCAAGTATACAATACTGTATTGTTACCTATAGTCATCATGCTGCACCTTAGGTCACCAGAACTTATTTATAAGTGAAAATTTGTACCCTTTGACCGATATCACCCCATTTCCCCCACACCCCATGTATTTCCTTATGCCTTTAGTGCATGTTGGGCTATTCAATTAAGTGGACACAGAATACAACTTTTTAAAAATTCTGATTGGCCACAGTCACCCTTGACTGCAGTCTTAACATTTCTATAATAATTATGCTAATGATCATCTAATCAGAAGAAAATACTTCAGTGTCACCTACTGTAAGGCATATCTTTGGGGCTGCTTTGGTTAGCATCAGATCATTTGTAGTCTTATAAAGTCTTCGTGACCAAAATCTTAAATGGGGGAGACCACTGAAGATTTTAGATATAGTGCAAAATCAGGAAATGGAGTCACTTTAACAAGATTAGATATTATTATCAATTCCTTGAAGTAACATGACAAATACTTCATGGGAAAAAATGGCCTATTGAATGTTAATAACAAAATTAATCAGAAGGAAGGAAAGAAGGATGGATGGATGGATCAAAAGGACTATGGATTATAGAATTGGTAAAATACAGTTTTTTCTCAGAACAACATGATTCTTCCTCATTTTGTCATGTTTGTCATGTATGTTATTTAATCAATATTCAGTTATTAGACACTTATACTATGTAATCTTCCTTATTATAAAGCCTTCTGCAATAAACATTCACAAAAACACCTTAGCATGAATCTAAGTGGCAAACAAGTATTATGACCTGGCAGTACACATACCAGACCCAGCACAGCATTTATTGGAGAAAACTAGCCAGGATGGGGCAATCAGAGGCAGGTACACAGTCCCCTGTTGCCCATCACACCTAGACTCAGTGCTCAAGGATAAAGCAGGGCCAGAGAGAAGTCCTGGGGAGCTTAAAGGCCCCCAGTGCTTTCCCTTCCCTTAGTCTAACCTGTGTGGTTCCAGCACGATATGGCAAAACTCTGGCCTCCTGCTCTAGTCTACCCTCTCCACATTCCTGGTTGATGAAACATGAATCGAAGAACCTAAGTAGAGGACAGAATTTGGAAAAAATGATGGATAAAGGCAATATATTTTAATGTTTAGGCAACATCTTGCCTAAACTGCCCAACTCACTTCAGGCATTTTCAGTTATATTGCTCTGTTTTAATTTTTTTATCACAATTATTATGACCCTGAATTATTTTGTTTTATTATTTCCTCATTTCATGTCTCCCCAGACTTGAAGATAGAGTCCATGAAAGGCGGGACCCTGTCTGACTTACATTCCTGGCATGCAAAATAGTATCTGCATCATTGTGAGAACTCTGAATATTTGTTAAAAAAAAAAAAAAAGGAATGAATAAATAAATTCTATTACCTTGAAAATCACCTGTACTTTAGACATATACTATGTAATATAATATTATATAAAGTATACATTTATTAAGTGTAGATGCATAATACACATAGGTATGAATATATATATATTATATATATATGAATATATATAAATATAGACTATATATATATATATTTGAGTGTGTGTATATTTGAGTGTGTATATTTGAGTGTGTATGTGTACACATGCGTGTGCTTAGAACTGGTTAAGAACGAGCCTACTTTGAGATTGGAAAACTGGTAACTATCCGAAAAGCTAACTCAGCAATATCAGAATTGGATTCTCTCTTACCACTGTGCCATGGGTCTTGCTTCCTTCCCAGAGAGAAATGATAGGATATTTACGTTTTTCTGACCTCCTGATTGTACTTTGCCATTGGTTGTCCTTCCTCACTGAAGCTCCAACAAATTGGGGGTGAGGTGAAGGGATGTTTCTCTCTCTGGAGTCTAGGTGTTTCTGGATTGACTTCACAATGTCTTATTCATGCTGACGTCTACCAAGTGCCAGGGATTCTTGCTGAAGTGTTGGCAACAATCTCATTTGGGAAACATCCTGGAACTGGAAATACAAATCTGGGGGTGCAGGGTGGGGTGCACAGTAGGACCCTGATGTCTGGATAGGTAGGGGCTTTGATTCAGTAAGAATCTATCTCTCTGCTCACCTAAAACTTGCTGGCTGGGGATCCGGCCTCTGCGGCCTGGCTCGTACCTCCCTCACCTCTCAGTCCTCAAGGCCACAACAAAGCTCTGGTCATCATGTCACTGTTTGGTCTGAGGCATGGCTGCTTTACTCTTGTATGGCATCAGTAGCTTCGCTGGTAGCAAGGATTTTGGGGTTCTGAGGAATGTCTGGGTTTGGTAGGAACTTCTGCCCATCTCTGAGACCCACATTGGCTTCATGAAGATATTTCAATTTCACTAAAATGCATTTCACAACATCTGGCTGACTGGACCCCTGTCATTTCCCCCTAAGCTTAAACACATAGGTGGGGCATGTATTGACCTTTCTATCTACAGGCAGGTATGATTTCAGCATGTGAACCCAGGAACTGCATTCCTTGCTTTATCTTCTATGATTGATGAGTATTCTGTTACAAAAATCCAAGTGGACATAAATATTTCCTAATACTGGATCCTACCGACTATCCCATTAACCCAAGTCTCTGTTTAGCCCCAAGGTCTGCAAGCCCTGTTTCAATTCAATGCATTTTCTAACCATAAAACAATGTCCTCCTGCCTCATACCTGACACAGTGGTACCTGTGACATTCCCAGTGACAAATGGCTTCTTGCAGTGTTACCCAAACCTACCTGATCTTGGCAGCCTTGGTTTCCATGGGACTTGGTCTCAGCTACTGCCGAGGTTCCAGTCTAATTATGAGTGTCAGAGACCTCTGCTCCCTTTTCAGGAAAGACTCTAGTTCCTAAACAAACTGTGTGTCAGGAGGAAAGATAACGCCTCATTTCCAGCTTGCAAGTTTGAAGTCGTTTTTTACACCCTTTCATTCTGGGTATCTCACATAACACTGCCTCTGTCTAATTCATCTGTGCAGGGAGGGTTGGGGGAAATAGACTAGAACATCTGAAAAAGGAAAACAAACAGACAAACAAACAAAAATCAGCCTCCTCAGAATCCCCCAGCTTGAATGTTTGAAGCAGAGTTTAGATTTTGGCCACCTCGAGTCATGTGTAAAGGCTTTTCTTACATCCCTTCTGAACAACACAGAGAAGCCCAATTGTCCTCTGCCTAGAGGCTGCCCCATGGTCTTGACTGGGAATATTTTCTCCTCACTCAACTACATTTTAGAACAGCATATTTGTAAAGTAGCTTTTCTTTTTTAATTTTTTGCAGTTAATAATTTCAAGAAGTTGAATAATATCAACAAACAAGATAAGTCCAAAGATACAAAATTAAATTTTTAAGTTTTACAATTGATGTTCCCAGCCCCTAAGTGGATTACCAGGTTCAATTCCTGACGTGGGCTTTCTAGGCTCCCTGTAGGCTCTCCTGTTATCTGATTCTGGTTCTCTGAGTCTTTGCAGAAGCAATACAGTTCAATGGTTATGAGGACAGGCTCCGAGACTCACAGCTCCACGCTCACTGGCAGGTTATTTAACGACCACCCTATGCCCCATCTCCGTGTGACAGATGATGACCAGTTGGAGGCACTGGCATTAAGATGGCATCAAGACGGCTCAGCTGACTATGCCAATATCCCAAGACTCCACCCTTCTCCGTGTCTGTAGATAAGGTCTCTGCTGAGTTTACATCCTGAACACATCTCTTCCTTGAAGTCTTCAAAATTCTAAGACACTATTGTTCGCATGAAAAAAATCTGGGATGCACTCAGTCTCTAGCTCTTTTTCTTTTCTTTTTTTTTAATCTATGAAGCCACTTTGATTTTACCCAGAAAAGTTTGCAAAAGAATTGATCATAAAATAAACTATCCTGAGGCACCTGGGTGGCTCAGTCAGTTGAGCTCAGCGGGGAGTCTGCTTGAGCTTCTCTCTCCCTCTCCCTCTGCCCCACCCCCCGCTCATACGTGCACTCTCTTTCTCCCAAAATAAATAAAATCTTAAAAAAAAAAAAAGAAAAGGAACAATTCTGAAAATAATGTTGATGCTTCATAATGTGATTTTCTTAAGTTTAAGGACACAGTATGGATCTCTCTAAAGAAGCTAGAAGGTGATTTGCTCTCAATTCCAACAGTTTTGAACTGTTATTCTTTAAGGAACTCTAAGCCAGCTTGAGGAGGAACTTATATCACTTTCATTTAAAGTTGCCAGATTATTCAAAATGAGCGAATATAACTTTCTTATTTCCTAAAATTTTTTTATAAATTGCCCTTTTTATTACATAAAGACTTGGTAAAGAAAAAAAAATCAAAACAGGTAGAAACTAGCTCACCTATCTTTCTTTACAGAGCATACATTTTTAGTACATGGCATAATATCCTTTCTATTCCCGATTATTTTTAGCAAAAGTTTTTTCCACCCTTAGATTATGTATAGATAGACTGCCAAAAATT